CTGCCGGCTCTGCGCTGTGTGGACGCCGCGGGCGCGGGTCACCGGATCCGCCCCGCCCGGCCCGCCCGGCCCGCCCGGCCCAGTCTCCTCCCCAACCTGGAACCTCCCCCGGCGCGGGGGCCAGCCGTGTCTGGGAAAGGCGACGGCGGTGGAGGCCGAGGCCCAGGGACCCCGGGAATGATGATGATGGTGATGATGATGGTGGTGATGGTGATGGTGGGGGGTCAGTTTGCGTCCGCCAGTTGGAATTCACAGACAGCCTCTCTGTTTTGTACTAAGATTGACGCGGGGGGCGGGCGGGAAAGACCACCGGCCTCGCCGGCTACGCCTTCGTAGTTTTGCAATCCGTTCCAGTGGAGTAGTTAAAAAGAGGGTGAACGTGTTGCTGGGGACACAGGACTGGGGGCGGAGGCAGGTGAGCGTGGGAGGAAGAGGAGGAAGAGGCAGGAGGGTCCCACAAGTAGGGTTCGGGAAGTCCCGCGGCCGCAGGGCCAAAACCTAGATCCGTGGGATGAACCGACTTCGATCCCGGTTCCTTCTGTGCTGCCGAGACGCTGACGAGCTGCTAGGCAGCTGGTTGCGGGTCTGGAAGCGCGGGGAGCCCCAGGTGTGACCCCCGCCGGCGGGCGGGCGGTGCGGAGCGCGCAGAGCCGAGACTGCAATCCCGCCCTTTGCCGCACGGGGGCGCCGAACCGGACCGCTGTGCGCGCAGAGCCCGGGCGCGGGGGGCCGTCTACCCCTAATGCGCTTTTCTGCAAAGTCTGGAGTCTCCGAACAAACCGTCACACGAGGATCTGGGCCCTCGGGACATGCATCCCCGTACCGCTCACCTGCCACCTTGCAGTGAGCCCCGCGCACCCCGGACCCCCTCGGGGGTTAAAATGCGGGTCCGGCTGCAGCCCGGCGAGGCTGCGGGGTGGCCGGGTTGGAGGCGCAGCGCTGCGCGAAGCGCGCAGGCGACCGGGCTGTTGCACCCTTCCGGGCTGCAGACCGGGGCCAGCGCCAAACAGCACCGCTGCGCGGGGGCGCCCGCCCTCCGCCGTCCCACCCAGCGCTCTGCGGGGAAGCAGGTCCGGGTTTTGGGGGCTCCCCCCGCCCCGCTTCCTTTCCCCTGCTCCACGAAGCGCTACGTGCTCCACCTGCCTCTTCGCAGGTAACCTCCTTCCCGCGGACGCAGCTGAGGGGCGTCGCCCCAGAGCGTACCCCAGAGGTCTCGCTCTTCCCACCCGCCCGTGAGTCGGACCAGGGGGCTGAGGATCCGAGGGGGGCGGGCGCTAACTGTGCAACTGAAACTTGGTGGGGGGTGGTCCTGACGGGCAGGAGGGCTGTGGGGCCGAGGGAGAGCGGCGTCCGTAGCTGCTTACTCACGGCGGGGCCAGGCCGGGGGTTGGGGCTGTGAATGTGCAGCGGGCTGGGTGCAGTTTTTGGAGAGCTGCTGGTCCCGCAGGAGAAGGCAAGGATGGTACAAGCGCAGTATCGGGAGGCGGTTCTCCAAGGGCCCTCCACATTCCCGCGTATCCTGTGGCAGATTCACTCCATTATCCTTTAAGGGATGTGTGGATAGCAGACGACCTTGGAAGACAGGTGTTGTGTCCTCGGCATACAGGATAACAAGGTATCTCCTGCCCGGGCAAGGATTGAGCCGGTTTGCCAGCACCGTTCACACACTGTGGTTTCCTAAGATCAGGGTTCCCCCAACGTGTCCCAAATCTGTGTACCCAGCATCCACTGGGATCCCTCCACATCACCCCTAACACGCACTGGACATCGGGAGGGGACC